TGGTGGCGGGTGAAATAAGACAATATGCTCCTTTAGGGCCCCCATGTGCACGATTTGCTTCTGGGGAGATAACAGTGAGTGTGACAGACATGGTCTTTGCCTTCATATGGAGTTTCCAGCTTAGTGGTGGATGTGGACAATCAAGAGACAAACACATGAATAAGCAAGATAATTTCTGGTAGTGGTTAAGTGCTTTGAAGAAAATAAAAGAGGGAAATATGATAAGGAATGGAATGGCTGGAATGAGGGAGGCCTCCTTTAGATAAAGTAATCCAGGAAGGCCTCTCTGAAGAGGTGACATTTCAGCTGAGACCCACAAGATGAGAAGGAGCCAGCTTGTAGTTAGGGTGTTCTAGGGAAAAGGGCTAGTCAGTGCAAAGCCCCTGAGGTGGAAAGACTTGGAGCTGTTCAAAGCACAGCAAGAGGACTAGACTGGGCTGGAGCACAGGCTGAATGGGAAAGTGGTAGAGGTGAGGCTAGGGAAGCAGAGCACAGAACACGGAGGCCCGGGAGGCCCAGGTAAAGAGCCTGGAGGTACTCTCATCAGTATGGGAAGATGTCCTGTTTTGGATGTTGAAAAGATGGTCCAGGGTGGGAGTCAGGTCAGGAGAGTTAACAGTGGGTTAGCACCCTCATCAGGGTTGAGTCCTATAGTACCCAGTGGGAAGTACCCATAGAGGAAGTACCTAGAGAGGAAGCTAGGAGCTAAAAACAAAACGCCATGTCTGTAAGAAGTTTGTAGGCTTTAAAAAAAAAAAATTAACTTTATTTATTTGGAGAGACAGAGATAGCGAGCAGGGGAGGAGCAGAGAGAGGGGGAGAGAGAGAATCCCAAGGAGGCTCTGTGCTGACAGAGGGCTCAAACCCATGAAGTGAGAGATCATGACCTGAGCCAAAACCAAGAGTTGGATGCTTAACCCATTGAGCCACCCAGGCACCCTGAAATTTGTAGACTTTTTAATTTCCCTATATTTGTTCTTTTTGTAACCCCATGTTCTGTGAAAGTCTTAAGCCTCATGAATTTGTTTCTGGAGAATGGGGCCATCAGGTGGAGTTGATGATAAGTAACCCCCAAAGAGTAGACAGAGTAGGAGGCCTGAGGCTAAGGGGAAGAAAACCAGCCAAGTCCCCAGGGAATGTTAAAAAAAAAAAAAGGAAGGAAGGAAACATTAGAACTAGCAGGTTTGGGCTTGAGGAGCACAAAGGGGGAGAAAGAGAGCTTTTACACGTAATTATATCCATTTACTTGTATAGACAGCCCCTTAATCACAGCATTTTATGGCTCAGCCCTTTCAAAAGTATAGAATTACAGTTGCCTAATTAACACTTCTAAGTCTCTTACCAACATTTAACTCACGCGCCTTTATTTCAGCCCCCGGACCCTACGTGGACAGTGGATTTTATTGGCAATAGGGAACCAGCGTGACGTACTTAAGATGCATTGCTAAAAGCAGGATCGAGAAAGACTTTATCCTAATAGGCTGTAGAAATTTCTGTATGCGCTGGTCGAGCAATCCAGGCCCCAACTGCCTGTGATTTAGGGCAGCTGTTGTAAAAAGGAAACCAACCTGAAAGGGCAGGTTTGAGACTCTTCTTAATTTCCCTTCTGGTAAAAAGAAAAAAAAAAAAAAAAAAACACAAAAAACCCTTCCTGGCTTTCTACCCGGATGGCAAATATTGGTCCACACATGCGAAGGAACGTTGGGTTGGTTTCATCTCCAAGTTCACGAATGCCATGTGCTCAGCCTGTCATAGTTACTTGGCAAATGTTATGAAATAATTCTTCGGGAAGAAATAGGCCATAGAGCTAAACTGAGTGAGCCAAACTAGGTCATGGGCACAAAGATGGGAGTGTTGCTGGCCAAGGCTCTGGAGCCAGAAGGCGGCCATCTGTGGGGACCCAGGGCAGTACTCATGCTCACCACACAGGCTCATTACCACTTCCTGCCATGAAAAACTGGAAAGCCTTAGGAAAGGAATATCTTGCTCTTGCTGATCCGCCTTAAAAGGTAGACTTCCAGCTCAGCATTCAAATCCTGGCTTGCTAGCACTGTGACACTGCGAAGTCACTGAATTGTTGTGAGTCATGGTTTTCTCATCTGTAGAATAGGAGGTGATGATACTTATCTAGGGTTTTTGAGAGCCCCAGTTAGAGACCTAGAGAACCGAGCGCCTAGGTGACTCCAAGTTTCTTTCCGTGTAGCCAAAGTGTTGGTATCACGTGAAACCCAGCTTCGCCCCTTTGCAGCCACCCGACAAAACTGCCGCTGGGGCAAGCTCTGGGATGCCTGTGCACCTCAGTTTCCTCATCAGCAAAGTGGGGCCAAGCCTAACAGAGCCTGTCTCCTAGGTCATGAGGAGGAGTGTTGTGAATACGTGAAAGGTGCTGAGAACAGGGTCTGGAGCACAGGAAATGTATGCGGTTGTCTTCTTCCTGTCCCCACGGCGCCAGGCACCCAGCGTGCATGTTGGGACTTCTCCACGTTTCTAAGAACTAAGACCCTTGAAAAGATTCGGTAGAAATGTGTCACGGAATCCCCCTTCACGGAACTGCCCTTTGCATTTGTTTCTGTTTCCTCAGAGAAACACCGTTATGAGCCAAAATTTCCAACGAAGTCTCTGGAACTTTAAGTTGAACAAGATTTATAAGAACAGACCTGTGTTAGGCCCCTGGCCAGACCTTTTGCATCCTCTCACGTGTCACCATCCCACGCCCCCTTGCCACTCCCCAGTCTATGGCTTGACTCCTCACAGCTTCTGTGCAGGGGCAAGTTCCCTGGTATGACATGAGCTCCCTACCCCGTTGCTAGTCAAAGAATGTCTGCGGTGGATGTGGCCTGGGAGAGTCAGGACAGAGCGAGAGAAGAGGCTGGCGCCAGGAGGGGGCAGCCTCTGAGGGCCCTTGCCGGAAGAGCTTCCTCTCGCGTGGGCAACTTGGTGGGACCTTAGAAAAGTGGCAGAGTCTAAGAACCTTAATGCAAACTTGAGGTCATGCTGTCAAAACGTGGAGAGGGCCTGGCATTGCGCTGTTTGGGCGCAGTGTTTTGTATAGTCTGTCAACAGTGCTCCTCAGAGAAACGGAGTGGTCGAGTCCGTAGATGACGGGTCCCACGTGGAACAAAGATCCAGAGGAGAAAGGGGTGCCGGAAGTCAGTCATTAAGGACAGGAAAAGAAAAGAACGGGGGAGCGCCTGGGTGGCTCAGTCAGTTGAGCGTCCGACTTCGGCTCTGGTCACGATCTCGCGGTCCATGAGTTCGAGCCCTGCGTCGGGCTCTGGGCTGATGGCTCGGAGCCGGAGCCTGCTTCCGATTCTGTGTCTCCCTCTCTCTCTGACCCTCCCCCGTTCATGTTCTGTCTCTGTCTCAAAAATAAATGCTAAAAATTTTTTTTAAGAAAAGAATGGGATGTAGGTTACCTCTATTGCCCCTGGAAGCAGCAGAGTCATTTGGGTTGTGGTTTAGGAGGAAGCAGGTGGCAGGAAGGAAGAGTTCCTGATGACTGCAAGGACTTTATGATATAGCAGGTGACAACTGACCTGTCCTCTGACAGCTTCAGATCAGGTTTTTAGGGGCACAATCTGGTGAAATGCCTCAGTCTATTGTCAGAAGTAGAGGAGGAGCAAGGAGGAAAGTATTTTTGTGTTCGTTTTGTTTTTTTAGAAGTGTATTTATTTATTTTGAGAGAGAGAGACAGAGAGAGAATGAGCAGGGGAGGGGCAGAGAGAGGAGGGGGGACACAGGATTTGAAGCAGCTCCGGGCTCTGAGCTGTCAGCACAGGGCCCGAGGCGGGGCTCGAACTCATGAACTGTGAGACGATGACCTGAGCCGAAGTTGGACGCTTCGCCAACTAAGCCACCCAGGCGCCCCAAGGAGAAAAGTTTTCAAATAGGTCCTTTCGATTTGCATATTCCTGCTCCCAAGCCATGGTCCCGCCAGTTTCCTGAGTTCAGAGTCACAGCAAACAGGCTGCACTGCAGAAAGGCTGTGGATGTAACTGGGGGCTTGGAGAGCGAAAAGGGGGTTCAAGAAATGGACCTTCCTGCTCTCGCCTACATCCAATGACTGCTTGTTGTGGGGATGTGGAGGCCAGCTTCTCCCCGTTACACTTGGGATAACCCGAAAGGGCCCTTCTAGTTCCAGAGTTCTACATCGCCTTAGTGCCATGCAAATAGTGCAATCGAGATTTGATCAAGGGCTTTCTGGCTCTGTCTAGACTGTACCCAGAATACTATGCTTTTCTGCTGCCACGGAACCGTGCAGAAAACAGCAGGGGGTGACCGAAGAAAGAAGCATCACAGTGTCTTCTTGGTGAACTCGGGCCCAGCACTGTTGCCTTTTCTAGTACATAAGGTCATGGCGGGTTGGAGGGACAGCCTGCATGTAAGGGGCTGAGACAGGGCAGATAGTACTTACGTCATGTTTCCTGCTGGGTTTTACTGGCAAGTCAACAGACCTTGCTGACTCATGGAGACGGGGATAGCAAGGTCCAGAGGTGATGTTTTAGGGAGTGCAGGTTTGGATGATAGAAGGTGGGATATTAAGGTATGAGGTAATCAGCAACTCCTTATATGATTACTTGGATAGCAGTGGGATTGGTGAAATCAGAGCAGAGTGGTAACCACGTGAGCTTTACTAGGGCAGGGTTCTATCTATCCTGAGGCATCTGTGCTCCATTTTGAACTCATAGTATCATTCTCATATCGTACCGGTCATCCAGCCTCCTTTGACGCAGCAGGTCAGTCATAAGAGATTCACTTGTGACCTATTGTATGCTGGGCTCTTGGCTATAGGTTCTGGGATCGAAAGATACTAAGTACGCAATGCTTGGGGCGCCTGGGTGGCTCAGTGCGTTAAGCATCTGACTTTGACTCAGGTTGTGATCTCACCGTCTGTGACTTTGAGCCCCGTGTCAGGCTCTGTCCTGACGCTCGAAGCCTGGAGCCTGCTTCAGATTCTGTGCCTCCCTCTCTTTCTGCCCCTCCCCTGCTCATGCTCTGTCTCCCTCTCAAAAATAAATAAACATTAAACAAGGTATTTACTCAATTCTTAAACAATAACACCTGCTCAAGGAGCCTCCTGACACTTGACAGATATTTCCAATACAATGGCATCATTGCTTGACTCTGTCAGTTTAGGGGAAATCATCTGCTGCAGTAACAAATGATCCCCCAAATTTTAGTGGCTTACAACAAAGTTTACTTCTCCCTCGCCTGACTTGATCTTCACAGATCGGCTGAAATTCTGCTCCATGTCCTTTTCGTTATGGGACCAAGCTAGTGGGAGCAGCCTCAATCTAGAATACTCCAATCTCGTGATATAGGGAAGAGAGAGAGTGGAAATACACAATAGCTCTTCAAAGCTTCTGTTGGTAGCGGGGCAGGTCCCCTGCGCTCCCATTTCATTGGCCAAAGCGAGTCACATGGCCAGGCGTGACATCATCAGCAAGGCAACCCTGGGCAGTTAGCAGTTAGCAGTTGGCAGTTAACAGTTGAGAGGGAAGAAACACACTCCTCCCTAGCGCCCTAGCAGAGTTAGGCACTAGGGCCAGACAGCTGGCGGAAGGGCACTGACGTTTTAGAGCTCCTCTTCATTCTCTTTATTGACACATTTTAATTAAGCCCACGGTTGTTTCTCTTTTTTTAAATTTTTTCTGCCCCGTCTTTAGAGACCTTTTGCCAGAGCTGATATAGTGAAAAGGAGGTATTAGGGGCGCCTGGGTGGCGCAGTCGGTTAAGCGTCCGACTTCAGCCAGGTCACAATCTCGCAGTCCGTGAGTTCGAGCCCCGCGTCGGGCTCTGGGCTGACAGCTCAGAGCCTGGAGCCTGTTTCGGATTCTGTGTCTCCCTCTCTCTCTGCCCCTCCCCCGTTCATGCTCTGTCTCTCTCTGTCCCAAAAATAAATAAATGTTGAAAAAAAAATTAAAAAAAAAAAAAAAGGAGGTATTAGAATTAGTGTTGCTGTTCTATACAACTGGAGGCCTCCATGAAACGTTCAAGCAACGTGGAAGGCTGTTTCCTGGCAACCCTACGTGGTCCATAGCTGTTGCTATAAATTGGGGGTACGTTTCTAGAAAAGCCATTGGGCTGAAGCCTGGGTTTCAGTCCTGACCTGCTACTGACGAGTTGTGTGATTTTGAGGAGTCAACCTGGCCTCTTGGAGCTTTAGTTCATCTGCAAAACAAGGGTGGTTGTGAAAAAAGGAAATTGTAAACCGGGAAACACTTTCCAAACGTTCAGCCTTTGTGAAACTGTGATGGAGATGTCATAAGAATCGGGCGGTTTTGTGTGTGTGTGTGGGGGGGGGGGTTTGTTTTTGTTTTTGTTTTTGTTTTCCATTGTGGTGGGAAGCTGGTGCACAGAATAAGAAAGGGTACTACAGCAGCTGAGATGCGCTGAAGCTGGTAATTATCTGCTAGACGGGCTGAGTTTTGATTGTAAGTGTGCCTGGCAAACCTATCAATGAGCCATGTGCCTTGATGAAACGCTGACAGTCTATTTACACAGAGGCAGCTGGGATATTATAAAAGAATGAAGGCATGCTGGAAGTCTAAGTCATTATGAAGGGTAGGACTTCATTTATCTGTGCGACTGATGGCTCCAGGATGGTAAAAATGTGGTATCACGTGAACAAAACAGCTCTTGAATTTTAATAATAATCCAGTGTCTTAGAGATGAAGGCTTAGCAATGATTGAATCCAACCCGTTGTCTGTAGAGATGAGGAAACAGAGACTCCCAGAAGTTAATAAACGAGCTTTTATCACACTTATGCTTGGCTAGGCATGGCATTACTTTCCAAGTGCTGTTAAATCCGAGAGAAAAACTTACCTGTCTTTTATGTAACAAATGTGCCAACTCATTAATCTCTAAAACAACACTCCCTTTGATATCTGGCATTCACGTTTCTAAATATTTATTCGCTACTTACACATAATCAACTAAAGCATAAAAACTTAACTTTAAATTTCCCCGGACGTTTAAACATTGATTACAAATTTGCAATCAAGCTCTTACATAAACAAATCATTAAAACGATGAATCTAATAAATGAGATTCTTTTACGTGCTCTCAACACCTTACCAAGCAGACAACGTGTGCACAAAATGCCACGTTGATTACAGAAAAGATTACACCGTGGAAGAACGGTTTTCTGAGACACTGGAAAGCCAGAGTGGAGATGAGCTGTGTTTTCCTCTTCTCTCCTATGAGGTGGAGTCTTGCTCAGTCTGTGTGGCTCAGAACCTAGGAGGTGGCCCGTGAGCTTATTTCAATTGTGGGCATGGATCGTTGGTGCTGATTTTTCCAGAATGACAATACTTAATCCTGTAGCAAAGCACTCACACACAGGGGCTGTGGTGCCCTGGAAGTGAACCTAAGTCTGTCAGTCCCCCAACCCTGAGTATAGTATTTCCAGTATTCCTCTCGGGAGTTCTGGGGGGCCACGGGCTGCACTATGGGTGTGTTTTAGCCACTTCTGCTCTTTATAACGCCAGACTTCTGAGAACATTCTGCATCCTTAGCTAATTCTATCAGGCGCTTTACAGACAGAGGGAGAGCAAGGGTAAGAATGAGAACGGTCTCCCCTGACTAATACGTAGCCCACCCGAAAAGTCGTCTAATACCCTTGTGCTGCTAACACCAGAAATAAAAGGGCTAGTTTCATGCAGTTACATTTGTTTATTTTCTTTGTTTTAATCTTCTTAATTTACAGCTTCCCAGGGCTATTGCTTTTTTTTTTATCTTTCCGGTATTAGAGTAACTTTTTTTTTTTAATTTTTTTTTTTTAATGTTTATTTTTGAGACAGAGAGAGACAGAGCATGAACGGGGGAGGGGCAGAGAGAGAGGGGGAGACTCAGAATCTGAAGCAGGCTCCAGGCTCTGAGGTGTCGGCACAGAGCCCACGGACGGTGAGATCATGACCTGAGCCGAAGTCAGACGCTTAACCAACTGAGCCACCCAGGCGCCCCTTAGCGTAACTTTTATAGGATATGATTTCTACCCTTTCTTAGAGTTGCTGAATTTGGAGAAGCCCCCAGAGGAAAAGTTTGTGGGTTTGGGAGTTCTGATCCAGCCCTTCCTCGGATCCTCCTTGACTGCACGGTCCAAAGCGGTGTGACAGCACATCTGAATTCCAGCAGCGGGGGTGGGGGGTGGAGCTTAACCCAAGGTTGTTTATATCACTTCTGCTCATTTTCTGCTCATTTTCATTTGAGCACTCGGCCACACTAGCAGCAAGGGAGGCTGGAAATAGCCTGGCCAGGTGCCCAGACAAAAACCTGAGTGTCTTATTAGTCTAAAAGCAGGGAAGAACTAGGGGTGATGTCTGACAGTGCCTGCCGCTTTCCATGCTTCTGGCCACCAAGTGTTTATGGGTCCTTGTCTTCTCACACATAGACACATTTACCCCTTCTCCAAGGGGGATGAGCCCCAAAGCCCAGATGCTTTGATTAGCTCGACCAGGAGCTCCCGAGTGGTAAGCAATCAGGGGCAGTGTGGTTCCTACTGGTACCACAAACTTGAAGAAACAACTCCCCCAACTTTTCTGCACCAATGGGCAACCAATGCCGGATAGGAACAGGGCAAGTGCAGTAAAAAGTCCCATTCGGAAGAGGGATAAAAGAAAACGCACATAAGTCTTTGTGTCAGAGCAATGATCAAATCCCTTTGGGTAGGAACAGAAAAGACTCTCTTCTCTGCCAGCAAGTGAGTCATGTGAGGGGCCCCTCTGGCAACCCTGGTTCTGCCTCCAGGGGAACCTCTCTTGGCTGACATGCCCTGTGGCTATTGACTTTTCCCCTTGGGAGGGTCTGCCTTGTCCTCCTGGGATGGCAGTTAAAGTCTACGCCCCTTGTGGGGGCTGCAGTGCCTTCACTGTCCCTTCCTGCAGGTGTGGGGGTGGAGCCTAGACCTGCGTCTGGGTCAAGGGCTTTGTCAGGTCAGCCCTGTAGTTTCCGGGGCAATAAAATTCCCTAAGAAGGCCCACGTAGGCTTTAAGTCTATCTGCTCAAATAAGGAAGGACAGCCGAGATCTAGTTTGGCCTAGGTTTAGTCTAAAAACCTTATTTACTGACCTCTGTGCTCCGCCCAGCCCCCATGTCTCCATGTAAGTTGCCCCAAGTCCATCTGAATAAATAGCTTGAGTAGGAAGGCAACATCCTTAGTTCTGTCTTTCCTGCTGCCACGTGGCAGACAACTCTGGATAGTGGTGCTTGAGAAAAGCTTGGGGACAAAGTCTTATTTTTTGCTAAAGCTCCTTAGACCCGTCACCCCACCCCACAAGGGACTCAGATGGTGTCATCAGATCTCTCTCACTCTCCATCTGCCGGCTGTGTTGTGTTCCAGGTTTATTCCCAGGCCAGCCCCGCCAGCATTGCTAAGCCTGCGGAGTCCTGATTTTAGAGGAGGACGCACATGATCGCTTCCAGCACCCATGCGTAAAATCTTAGAGACGTTCCTGATTGGCCCGGTTTATGTCACCTGCCTACCCTGAATCAGTCATTATACCCAGGAGATGGAGATCTTTGGTTAGCCTGAGTCATTTGTCCACCATAGTGTTGAGCATCATGATGGGGGACCTGGTCAGGACCACATAAAGGGCAGAAGAGTCAGCGTTCCTTCACTCCCCACCCAAAATGAGGGAGGTGCTATTAGACCAAAGGGGAAAGTGTGTTTGGCAAAAAGAAATGAAAGAGACCCAGGACATTTGGCCACCAGCAGGGACAACAGTGCTCTTTAGGACCTGGAAGGCTTGGTAAAGATGGAACTACTAAGTAACATTTACTTCTAGTTTCATTTAAAAATTTTTTTTTTCAACGTTTATTTATTTTTGGGACAGAGAGAGACAGAGCATGAACGGGGGAGGGGCAGAGAGAGAGGGAGACACAGAATCAGAAACAGGCTCCAGGCTCTGAGCCATCAGCCCAGAGCCTGACACGGGGCTCGAACTCACGGACCACGAGATCGTGACCTGGCTGAAGTCGGACGCTTAACTGACTGCGCCACCCAGGCGCCCCTCTAGTTTCATTTAATAAGATTTTTTGGGATATCTGGGTGGCTCAGTTGGTTAAGCGTCCAACTTTGGCTCAGGTTATGATCTCACGGTTCGTGGGTTTGAGCCCCGCGTCGGGCTCTGTGCTGACAGTTCGGGGCCTGGAGCCTGCTTCAGATTCTGTGTCCCCCTCTCTCTCTACCCCTCCCCTGCTCGCACTCTCTCTGTCTTTAAAAAAAAAAAAAAATTTGTTAAAACCCAGGCCATGTCTCTTGAACTGCCCCCTTACCAGGAGTTCACTGTTACTTTGGACGATCAGATCAGAGTGGACCAGGATAGAAACCGAACAGAGACAAGGAAGCATTATTTCCTCTTCGACACTGATAGTAGCCCACCTGAGTGTGGTCTGCTCCTGCCACAGCCCTCTCCCTGGTCTCACCCACAGGAAGCTGAGGACAAACTTCTTCTCTCCTCTCCTGCCCTGATGGGGCAGCTGACAGCCTCTGAGTGTGGAGTTAGGCCCCCAGCTGAAAGAGGGGAAATGAACAGGCTCCCAGGAAAACCCTTGACCCCTGGAGGGAGGTGGGAGAGGGCAGAGGCCACCATCCTCCACACCACCCCGATTCTTATGCACAGTCCCCCACTCCCCCACCTGACCCCACTTTCTCCAACTGGCTCTTCCCTTCACACACATATTCATTTCTAGAGTTTTCTGAGCATGGATGAGCACCGTGCCCACAAAGCTGCAGGTCTCCCCATGTTTGGAGAAGCTGTCAGGATGACAAAGCCCTTGGATGACATCTGTTCCTTTGCAACTGGGCCCCTCCAACCTCCTATGCTTCCTGCGCCCATCTGCCCAGAGTTCCTGGAGGGACCTCCTGCCTCCAGCTTTCCCAGGTTTTGGTGCAGGAAGGCGAGAGGCAGATGTGGGCCAGAAGGTGGAGCGGAGCAGTGCAGGCGCTCGGTGCTGCTGAGAGAAGTTTTCCTGGCCCTGCCGCTTCTCTCTCAGTGGCAGCCTGGCTGTGAGGACCCGGATCAGGAGAAGCAGCAGGTGGATGGGGATTTCCAAGCCTAAGCCCCTTTAAATACACAGGCAGCTGTGGGCTTCCTCTCCCAGGTAACCGGCCTGGACTAGCTTCCCCCAGGGGGAAATGCAGGTGTGTCTGGAAATCAGGAATAACCCAGAGAGTTCGGGAAGACTCTCGATGAATCTTAATGGGTTAGTCAGTAGGCTAACGGCGGGTGGAAGGAAAGCGGGCTGGGAATTTGCCGAGCCCCGAGGTTCCTCGAGTCAGAAGCCCTGTTTGTAGCCACCGGTGGGGAAGCCGGCCCCGCTCTGTCCCCATCCACCGCCTCGCTGTGGCTGATGGCATTTTCTGAAGCTGGCAACACGATACCTATCATCCTGAATGCTCTTCTGCACTGTGAACTGGCCACTTCTGCACGGAGAGGTAGAGTCTGTCTCACCACCTCCTTGAAGCCAGGCAGGCCGCGGGACTGCCGCGACCATTGGAACTTGGCGCAAGTGATGGCGTGCGACCTTGGGCATGGCCCTTCCTGGCCTGGGTTTTGCTGGCCGCCCCTGGGAAGCCAGTGCCCTGTCACAAGTTGGCCTGGCCTCTGAGACCACTATGCAGTGAGCGGCCTGAGATGTCCCTGCAGAGGCCCTGATGGCCAGACATCCCGGAGAGAGAGAGAAAGGCTGAGGCGCCCTGAGGCGCCAGACAGGGAGGCAGTCACGATGGCAGAATTTTCACGTGATTTCTCTGCACTTGTATTC